TGTTGTTGATGTTGATGTTCATGTCGTTAATGCGGAAGTGGATGTTGTTGTTGTTTGTTTATTGTTGTTTGAGGTATTTGAAAATGAAATAAAAAAAAACACGGAACAGAGAAAGAGAAATCAGCATACGTACACGTACAGACAGTCATGCACTCACATACGCACGCGAGTAGCCTTGCATACAATGATGAATATATAGATCGATACAGATATAAATATAGACAAATAGTTAGAGATATAGATGGATGGATATATGGTAGATGGATATAAATAGATAGAGACAAAAACATAGAAAGGCAGATAATCAGATAAATAGATAAACAGATAGACAGACAGACGCAAACGCACACAAACAGGAACGGCTGAAAAAAATTCCCACAAAGACAAATGATAAAATAACAGTCGATATGTTTATGAAGATGAGAAAGACGAAGATGGTGATGGCGAACATGACGAAAAAAAAGTGATAATGAAGAGAATGATGAAAACGGAGAACAAAAAAAAAAAAGGACACGAGAGAAAATACATAGCCAGCGAGAACGGACAATTGACAATTCATAAAAAGAGCCAAGATAAATGGAAGAAAAAAAAAGACATTTGACAGAGACTGACAGATTATTAAAAGAGCCAAGAATTCCGAAGATAAATGGAAGAAAAAAAAAAAACATTTGACAGAATTCCGAAGCTAAACGGAAGAAAAAAAAGACATTTGGCAGAGAATTCCGAAGATAAACGGAAGAAGAAAAAAAGGAGATATTTGATAAAAAAGGAAGCAAGAAATCCGAGTGCCCCCTCCAGCTCACTCGCTAAAGAACAGGCCAAGAACACCAAGAACTGACACTCGGCAGCCGCGGGAATTGGCACGGACAGGGAAGAGCGGAGGTTCAGAGTCAAGGACGGGCGGTCAAGGAGCGGTAGGGGGGGAGGAGGAAGAGGAGGGGGAGGAAGAGGAGGGGGGAGAAGAAAAGGAGGAGGAGGAGGAGGAGGAGGAGGAGGAGGAGGAGGAGGAGGAGGAGGAGGAGGAGGAGGAGGAGGAGGAGGAGGAGGAAGATGAGAAGGAAGCAAAGAAGGAGGAAGAGAGGAGGAAGAAGAGGAAGATGATGATGAAGAGGAAGAAGAAGAAACAGAAGAAGGAGAAGGATAGGAGGAAGAAGAAGAAATGGGGAGGAGAGGAGGGGGGCCGAGAGGACCAGCTGAGGTTGAGACAACAAGTACTTTCCCCAGAGAATGCGGGATGTAGGTCGAGCGGAGGGAGGGAGGTCGACGGGACGTGGTGAGGGGGGGAGGGGGGGAGGGACGAAGAGAGAGGGAGAGAGAGAGAGAGAGAGAGAGAGAGAGAGAGAGAGAGAGAGAGAGAGAGAGAGAGAGAAGAGAGAGAGAGAGAGAGAGAGAGAGAGAAGAGAGAGAGAGAGAGAGAAGAGAGAGAGAGAGAGAGAGAGAGAGAGAGAGAGAGAGAGAGAGAGAGAGAGAGAGAGAGAAGAGAGAGAGAGAGAGAGAGAGAGAGAGAGAGAGAGAGAGAGAGAGAGAATGGGGAGGGAGAGAACCAGTAAGGAAATGAACGAATGAGCCAGGGAGGGAGGGAGGGAGGGAGGGAGGGAGGGAGGGAAGGAGGGAAGGAGAGAGGGAAAGGGAGAAGAAACGAGAGAGAGAGAGAGAGGAAGGGAGAGAGTGAGTGAGTGAGGGCGGGATGGCCCCCACCGCTGCCAAAAAGTGGGCCGGAATCGAGGTCTGGAGCCAAGCCGAGCACCTCGCTTTCCCGGCCTCGTTCCCTCCACAGGATTCCGTAGCTGTTACTTGCCAATTCATCAGCGTTAATCAAATCGATCAAGTTCATTCTGTTCACCTTTCTGCCTCTCCCTCTGTCCATTCCTCTATTCATTCATCAACCGCTAATTCGCTTTGTTATTTGCCAATATACTATGTCAATGTTAGGTTTATTTATTTGTTCATTTATCTATCTATCTATCTGTCTGTCTGTCTGTCTGTCTGTCTGTCTGTCTGTCTGTCTGTCTGTCTGTCTGTCTGTCTGTCTGTCTGTCTGTCTATCTATCTGTCTGTCTATCTGTCTGTGTCTATCTATTGTTCTATCAACCATCACTTGCCTATTATCAATATTAATCAAGTTTATTTTGTTCACTTATCTGTCTATCCAATATATCTGTCTATCTATCTTTTTTTCATCTATTGGTCAATCATCAATTCAGTATTTATCAATACTATTAAGTTGTTCTTCTTCAACCCATTTATTAATGTCTTGTCTTTTCTTGTCTATTTATCAGTTTATTTACATATCTATCTATCTATCTATCTATTGATCTATCGGTCTGTCAGCCGTCCATTCACTTTCGTTACTTGACAATTATCAATATCTATGAAATTATAAGGGAAGGGGGGAAGGGGGGAAGGGGGGATGGAGGGAGGGAGGGAAAGTGAGGAAAGGGTGGAAGGAAAGGTAGGAGTGTAAGAGGGAATGTGGGAGGGAGAAAGGGAAGGAGAGAGGGAGGGAAGGAGAGAGGGACGGAAGGAGAGAGGGAGGGAAGGAGAGAGGGAGGGAAGGAGAGAGGGAGGGAAGGAGAGAGGGAGGGAAGGAGAGAGGGAGGGAAGGAGAGAGGGAGGGAAGGAGAGAGGGAGGGAAGGAGAGAGGGAGGGAAGGAGAGAGGGAGGGAAGGAGAGAGGGGGGAGAGAGGGGGGGAGAGAGTGACAGAGACAGGACAAACGGAAAACAGAACAAAGAAAGGGAACAGAAATGACAGAAAAAAGTCATATGGCAAAAAAATAATACATAAAAAAAAATAAACAAAACACAAACAAGAAAATCAAGCCGCAAAGCCCGGCGACGCCACACACACACACGAAGCCGAAGCCGAAGCCGAAACCGAAACCGAGACCGAACCCGAAGCCGACGCCAAGACCAGGGTCAGCGGCGCGCACTCACCGTCGTACTTATGCGGCTGCGGCTTCTCCCGGGAGCACGACGCCCCCGCCGCCTCGCTGAAGGTGGCGTCGACGAGGCCCAGCACCAGCGGCAGCAGGAGGCCCTCCGCCAGCGACAGCCACAGCGACAGGTTGTCCACCGGCCACTCCGGCAGGTACGACGGCAGGAACGTCCCCACCACCGTCAGGCCCTGGGGGAGGGGGGGGAGGGGGGTCAGAATGGCGGGGGTGACGGGAATAATAAGAATAATGCTGATGATAATAATGATAATATTGGTAATACTAAGGATAATAATAATAATAATAAGGATAATAATAATGATGATAATAAGAATAAGAATAATGATAATAATAAGGATAATGCTGATAATAATAAGGATAATAATGGTAATAATAAGAATAAAAATGATAATAAGAATAAGAATAATGATAATAATAAGGATAATGCTGATAATAATAAGGGTTATAATGATAATAAGAATAAGAATGATGATAATAAGGATAATAATGATAACAGTAACAACACTATGGGTTATAATGCTGATAATAATAATGATAATAATGATAATTGTTAAAAATAATGGGGATAATAATATTTGTGATGATGATAATCATCATAACAAAAACAAACAAACACAAAGATTATGATAAAATTATAATACCAATCATAATACCAATAGTAACAATAATTATCATCATAATCATAATAACAATAACAATAATAGCAATAATGACGTGTGTGTGTGTGTGTGTGTGAACGTGTGTATGTAAACGTATGCGTGTGTGTGAACGTATGCGTGTGTGTGAACGTATGCGTGTGTGTGAACGTATGCGTGTATGTACGTATGTGTGTGTGTGCGTATGGGCGGACATGTACGTATGAGCGTGTGAACTTACACGTGTGCGCTGAAAACCACCGCCAGTACCCCCCCCCCTCCTCCCACAATCTATCACGCCTTCCTCCCCCCCTCCGCCTCCCCCTCCCTGCCGCATGCGTCGCCGCGCTGACCGCAAGCGGCGTCGGCGTGCGGGCGTGCGGGCGGTCCAGCGGCGCCGCCCGCGCATTCCGACGGAAATTGCGGGAAGGAGACGCTCTCCGTCACGCCCGCGCGCCCGCGTCTCCTCCTCTTCATCCTTCTTTTGTCTATTTTTTTTTCTTTTTTTTTTTTCTTTTTTTTTGATAAGCACAAATCGAAAACTCCAGAACTGGCAAAAAAATAAAAAATAATAATAGATTTAAAAATAATAATAATAATGATAATAATAATAATAATAACAACAATAATGATGATAATAATAATAACAATAATAACGATAATAATAATAATAACAATAATAATGATAATAATAATAATAAATGAATGATATCAAAAACAAATCGGAATCGAGGGGGAGGGAAAACCTAAAATCCGAAAACGACATTTTTTTTTTAAATCTGGAAATGGAAAAAAATCCGGAGATGGAGAGAGAGAGAGAGAGAGAGAGAGAGAGAGAGAGAGAGAGAGAGAGAGAGAGAGAGAGAGAGAGAGAGAGAGATGGAGATATAGAAAAAAAACACACTGGAAAAGAGCAAACTCAAAATTCCGAATAAGAGAGCCCAAAATAAATCTCAACACCATCCCTCCTCCCCCTCCACCCACCCCCTTTCCCCCTCATTCCTTCGCTTCAAGACGAAGAAGAAAAAGAAGGGAGAAGGAAAAGAAGAAGAAAAAGAAGGAAGAGGGAAAAGAAGAAGAAGAAAGAAGAAGAATGAAGGAGGAGAAGAAGGAAAAGAAGGAAAATGAGAACAAGACGAGGAAGTAGAGGAAGAAGGAGAAGGAGAAGAAGACAATAGCAAATATGCAAAAAAAAAGAGAATTGGAAACAAGCGAGTAGAATCAGCAGGAAGAGAAGAACGGGAAGAAGCGAAAACGAGGATAAGGGGAAAGAGAGAAGGGGAGATGCGTGGGAAACGAGATAAAGAAGGAATAAGGAAGATGGTGATGAAAAGGCAGAGAGAAAGACAGAGAAAGGTGTGTATAAGAGAGAGATTGAGGAAAAGAATGGGGAATGGAGGAGGGGGGGAGGGGGGGAGGGGGGAGGGGGGGGAGAGAGAGAGGGGGAGGGGGGGGGGGAGAGAGAGAGAGAGAGAGAGAGAGAGAGAGAGAGAGAGAGAGAGAGAGAGAGAGAGGGGGAGAGGGAGAGAAAGAGAGACCGAGCGAGCGAGAGAGAGAGCGAGAGAGAGCGAGAGAGAGAGAGAGAGAGAGAGAGAGAGAGAGAGAGAGAGAGAGAGAGAGAGAGAGCGAGAGAGGGAGAAAGACAGGGGGAGAGGGAGAGAAAGAGAGACCGAGCGAGCGAGCGGACGAGAGAGCGAGAGAGAGCGAGAGCGAGAGCGAGAGCGAGAGAGAGAGAGAGAGAGAGAGAGAGAGAGAGAGAGAGGGAGGGATAGGGGGGGAGTGAGAGAGGAGAGCCAGAGAAAGTCAAGGTCAGCGTTGGCACTCGGGGTCAGGCGGATCTGGGTCGCCGCTTTCTAAAACGCACATGTACACACACTCACACATACACATACATACACACACAAATTATATTTATATATATATTAGATAGATAGACAGATAGATAGATAGATAATATATTTATACATTTGTGTGTGTGTGTATGTGTGTGTATGTGTGTGTATGTGTGTATATGTGTGTATGTGTGTATGTGTGTATGTGTGTATGTGTGTGTGTGTGTGTGTGTGTGTGTGTGTGTGTGTGTGTGTGTGTGTGTGTGTGTGTGTGTGTGTTTGGGTGTGTTTATGTATATGTGTATGTATATGTGTGTTATATTATATTATATTATATTACATTATATTATATAATATATATATATATTGTATATTTATATTTATACGTATGTATGTATGTATACAAGTATGTCCACACACATGTAGTCATATGTACATATCTGTACCTGTTTGTATAGGTTTGTATATGTATGTATGTATGTATAAATGTATGTATGTATAAATGTATGCATGAATGTATGTATGTATAAATGTATGCATGTATGTATATATGTATAAATGTAAACATGTATGAAAGTATGAATGTATCTATGTCTGTACAATTTTATACACACTTGTGATTATGCGGGGAAATGCCCCGCCCCCCTCCGTTTCTTTGAATATATACCTATGTCTATGCCTATATCCATCTATCTATGTCATGTCATGTGATGTATATTACATTGCATCATTTCAAGCTACACTATACACCAAACAAACACACACACACACACACACACACACACACACACACACACACACACACACACACACACACACACACACACACACACGCACGCACGCACACGCACAAGCACACGCACACACATATATATGTGTCCATATATATAATATATAATATATATATATACAAAATATGATATATATATATATATATATATACAAAATATGATATATATATATATATACATATATATATATATATATATATATACAAAATATGATTATATATATATATATATATATATATATATATATATATATATATATATATATATATATTATACAAAATATGATATATATATATATATATACAAAATATGATATATATATATATATATACAAAATATGATATATATATATATATACAAAATATGATATATATATATATATATATACAAAATATGATATATATATATATATACAAAATATGATATATATATATATATACAAAATATGATATATATATATATATACAAAATATGATATATATATATATATATATACAAAATATGATATATATATATATACAAAATATGATATATATATATATATACAAAATATGATATATATATATATATATATACAAAATATGATATATATATATATATATACAAAATATGATATATATATATATATATACAAAATATGATATATATATATATATATATATATATATATATATATATATATATATATATAATATTATATGTATAATATATTATATATATAATATTATATGTATAATATATTATATATTATATATTGTATACTATATATATTATGTATTATATATATTACGTATTACATATATCATGTATTATATATTATATATTATATATTATAAATATATAATATATAATATATAATATATAATATATAATATATAATATATAATATATAATATATAATATATAATATATATATATATATATATATATATATATATATATATATATATTATATATTATATATTATATATTATATATTATATATTATATATTTATAATATATAATATATAATACATGATATATGTAATACGTAATATATATAATACATAATATATATAGTATACAATATATAATATATAATATATTATATATATAATATATTATACATATAATATTATATATATATATATATATATATATATATATATATATATATATATATATATAATATTATATATATATATATATATATATATATATATATATATACATATGTGTGTGTGTGTGTGTGTGTGTGTGTGTGTGTGTGTGTGTGTGTGTGTGTGTGTGTGTGTGTGTGTGTGTGTGTGTGTGTGTGTGTGATTGTGAGTGTGTGATTGTGAGTGTGTGATTGTGAGTGTGTGATTGTGAGTGTGTGATTGTGAGTGTGTGATTGTGAGTGTGTGATTGTGAGTGTGTGATTGTGAGTGTGTGTGTGTGTGTGTGTGTGTGTGTGTGTGTGTGTGTGTGTGTGTGTGTGTGTGTGTGTGTGTGTGTGTGTGATATTGAGAAATAAATATATGAAAATGGAGAGCGAGAAAAAATAGACATAGAAAGACAGAAAGACAGACATGCACAGACACAGACAGACAGACGTATCCCTAGTGCCTGATTCCGCGAACCGCCTCCGCCTCTCTCGGGCAGCTCCCTCGCCGCGCCGTTCCTGGCGGTGGGCGGGCGGGGTGCTTGACCGGCCGTGGGCGCGGGGGCGGGTGAGGGGGGGGGGGGGGCGAAGGTAGCTCTTGTCCGGGTCCACGCTGGGGCGCTCTCGCTCTCTCTCTCTCGCTCTCTTTCCTCTCTCTCTCTCTCTCTCTCTCTCTTTCCTCTCTCTTTCCTCTCTCTCTCTCTCTCTCTTTGCCCTCTCTCTCTCTTTGCCCTCTCTCTCTCTTTGCCCTCTCTCTCTCTTTGCCCTCTCTCTCTCTTTCCTCTCTC